ATTCAAAATAGTGTTTGACAAAATGAGACTAAAAACTGACAGGTTGGAAAAACCGGCTGGTCCATTTTTCGGCTTCTCTGGATAGAGAAAAGAAGCCTTAGGTGTAGTCGTGCTGACCATCTCATGGGGGAGTGAGAAAAATAGTTCACCAACATGGATAACTTTTTGATGCTGGAATCCCCACTGACTTACATTGAAAACTTCAGCCAACCACTACTAATTAACTACCAAGCAATAAAATTAACCTACCACTTAGCTGTGAAATTTCCTAAAAATAAGAAGATAATAATGGTCTGCGGGAACTTGGAATAACTTACTTTTGGGTGGTCACCAGTGTTGAACATGATCCTTACAGACAAAAAGAGAAGGAGGTCTCGAAACCAGTGAGACCATCCTTCAGATGCATGCAACCGATGATAATGAACCAGGTAAGATTTTTCTGATAAGTGAAAGCTTTGATGCAGAACACATGAAGCTACTAATATGAACTCTCCATGCACACTGGATGTCTGTTTTTGCATAGTTGTGGAGATGACTGGAGTTTTGATTGAAGCTGTGTTTTGGACAAATACTATGTTTCAATTTAGAAACTATAAATTTTGCACCCCTAGTATCGTTCTCCACAGAGGTCACCCCAGTAGTGGAAAGTATAAGTTAGAACTATCAGAAAGATTATGAACCACTAGTAGGCACTTCTAATTTTGTTGCTTAGCGGCTAGCTTCTCTCTCTCCACCTTAGCTCTCCTCGCCTCATCGAAGTCCAAGAGATGCCACTGCTCCCCATTCATCCCATCCTTTAACATTTGGGTGACTGCAACCTCAGCTATATATTGCAGAACCAAAAGTTCTACGTCGCTTACATCGCCTCAGTGATGTGCATGTCCTATGGAAGGAACTTTAACTTGTTGCCCATCGACTTCGATGGTTTGGTCTGGAGACCCTAATCACTGGAGCAGGAACCGAGCAGAAACTGTTTCCTCTTATCCTTTATCTTATTTTCAACTCTAGTGAGTTGGAGTTTCTTATCAGTGGAGAAAATGACGAAGCCCTTACTGTGTCAACCTTAAACTTATAATAATAGTTAAACAGGTCAATCAGCCACATGATACTCCGTCAACGATGGAAAAGAACAAAGGTCATTATCAATACTATGAAATTTGGCAGCACCTGAGCTGGAATGACCCCGTATGTATTGAAGATGCTCTGGCGCTCACCACATAAGGGCAACCATAGGACATATTTGATCTGATGCTGATAGAAGATCAGATCTCTGGCCACATTGTCTGTCGTGCGTGTCGATCTCGACATTGCTCAAAGGGCAATGCTGCCATCCAAAAAATACCTCTTCCACAACTCCTCTACATCCATTTTCATAAAAAAATGAAGGGTTGTAGGCATTGCTAGAACTGAAGAACGTAAGAGAATACTCGAGAGCCATGACAAGAAGACGACCAAAAGATGAAAGCATCAGATAGGTCAAGAGGCACAAAGAAAGAAACAGTACAGTATAAAGGGTAAAAGTAACTCTTCACCCTATTTATATGGTGAGAACATGAAACGAAAAGTCACTTAATGATAAGTGTCACAACAAACATCTTTTGAAATTGTATTTGAATGTTTTTTTATCGCAACTAACATTATTACATGTCTCGAATGAAGTGTTTTAAAAATAGCTCCTCCAAGGATTTGATCGGGACATTCCCCATCTGAATTAGTGGTCGAGGGACCAACTCCCCGATTAACCTAATGTGATCCACTTGGTCAGTGACATGCTGGAACTCGACCAAGGAAGTCGGCTCACGGAGTGCTCCTAGCTCACACCCACGACTGCGCAACCCATAGTGCAAAGTAACGGCCTCCATTCGCAAAGCCACCACCTTTGAATCCATAATTGTTAGATGAGATTACAACTCCCGCACAAGTTCTACTACCGAGCCTCCTGTCGCTCCCTTATAAGAACCAACTAACCCCGGTAAGGGTTTGATTCGGTCCGCTTGCCATCCCGTGAATCCAGAAGAAGGATGGCACCTAACCACTCTGGTTGCTCTTGTTAGGGGCCCACAGTGGGCAAAGGGCCAGACAACTTGTGCCTCTCAGAGCAAATGGTGGCAGAAGCTTGTCGTGCTCGGCCTACAAACTGGGCGCTGCAGTGGGTACAAACTCCACAATGTCCCTCAAAAGCTCGCCATCTTTGTAGCCATCCAACTTGATCAATTCATCTGCATCATAGATAATGTCATAAAGTCGTTAAAAAACACTAACAATCAAAGAAAATTTTTATAAACCTAAAAATCTTCCCATTTCAAAAATGACTCTCGAGAACTCATCTCATTTTGCAATAAGATAACTCCATATTTATGAGGTAAAGGTCGGGAAGAACCGATAACTATCACTCTCTCTTGCTCCTTTCCCCGACCTCAGTCCCTTTGCCAACTGAGCCAAAGCATGTTGATCCGCCAATCTTCGTCATACCACATTCCAGTTATAATATAGATATGATATTAATTAGCATATTAGCTGTATTAAAGACGATTTCCATAAAAAGACCCCCCTTTCTATAATTATGTAAGCATGCTCTTATAAATAGCCGAGTCTAAAGGCGAAACGAATATAAGGATTTTTTCCCTCGACTCCTCTCCATAGAATTTTGTTTGCACTGCTTTCTCTCTCTCTTTTTCTCTCGTTTTCTTTTATTCAGCTCTAACTCTCGGGGCATGTGTTCGCGAAAGACAATTTGAGATTCAACATAGTTACATATTTAATACTTAGGGTCCGTTTGGGCTAGCTTATTAGATGCGGTGACGTTTTGAAAACACATCTGGACTGTTTTGATAAACTGCATTTTGACAGCTTATGCGTTTTGAAAACATTAAAAGCAGCGTTTTCACACTGCAGGTGCGGTGACAGCTTTCTAGCAACGACCTGACTTTTCCAAAAAAATAAAAATTTCTAATAGTCATCACACTTAGCTTATTTTTAATCTGTTAATCAATAAGCTGCAGCTACCTCAAACAGACCCTTAAACTCTCATATGTGTAGATCTGTGAAAGTGAATACATTAGGTGTTAATATGTAAATACCAAAAAAAGAAAAAAAAAAAAGAAAAAAAAAAAACTCGCGTTGGCGGGAAACTTGAAAATTTTATCGGCAGAGAACCCCGCTACTCTAATCCAGTGTTCGCGTCCAGTTTTGGAACTCGGGCCTCGAAGGGGCCGCAAGCTCCGCAGAAGATGGCGAACAAACTCGTAGCTCATATGGGTCTCCCCCAATCCATCGCCAATCTCTTCGCAGCACGCAACATCCAAACTGCAAAGGTATGACTGGGGGTCGTCAATTCTTCTCATTTCCTTCTGCAATTCAGTTGGATTTCAGAGCGTTTTACTCTTCTTCCCAATCGAACCAAATGTCATCCTCATTAGGTTTTTTCGCATTTCTTCTTTTCCGCTTGTGGCTCTCAGGATGCTCTGTCCTTACCTGAATTCGACTTGATGACTCTTCTTGGCGTTGATATCAAGGATGTTAGGGACGCTGTCGCGCGCATCTGCGAGGTCGTGTGTCCTCCCTATCAAACCGTGAGAAAGTTCCCGTGACTGCTTTCTAGTATCCATAACCAGGGTGTCCTTTTCCCCCGCTGAGTAGGATTCTCTTGGTTCAGGCGCTTTCGCTTTTAGAGGAGCAACTGATGGTTGATACATCTCGCGGTCATCTTAATACGTTACTGACGGGGCTTGATGCTGCGTTGGGCGGGGGAATCCCCTTTGGTGTTCTCACGGAATTGGTTGGTCCCTCGGGGATTGGTAAAACTCAGGTAAATTTTTTTATTTGATGAGTTTAGTTTGGTGTTGTGGAAGGGATACTATTTTGTTTTTTAAAAAAATTTATGGGCTGTTTGGTAGCTGGATTTGAGCAGGACTTAACACAATGTTAAATACTGGATGCACTAAATCAGGGCATTCATGGGATTTAACTAAAATTTTCCTTTTTTTCTAATATATAAGGAACAATTTCATTCCGGGGAATGTGAAAAGCTGGAAAAAGGGAGGTTTTAAAGCTGAAGTTGTTTTGTGGGTTGTATCCGAAAAAAAAAAAAAAAAAATTGTGTGAAATGTAAAAATGAAGTTTGCCAAGATGGTTCTTTGAACTATCACTATGAACAACAAGCATGTTGAATTCTGAGAAACCTATTAATCGATCATTTGACATCTGGATGATGAAAATAGAGAGCGAAAGAAGATTGGCGAAAAGGAGATCTAGAATGATAAGTTCTAAGCATTCTTTTTGTTCTAATAAAAGTATTATAAATTATATATCTGCTCATACATCCACCGACCTTTCATTTATATGGTTTTGGGTGCTACAAGAAAAGTTATATAATAAATAAACAAAAAAAGAAATAAGTAAATACATTTTTTCTATTTGACATGAATGCTAAAGAGAGGTGAGTCCTTTTGACTCGGGGGAGTAACCCTAGATTGGGACTGACATGTCCGAGCAAGGTGAGTCTGTGCTAGGAGGTACTTTCAGATTAGTCAAGCATCATTGCTCTTTGGGTAAGTGCCTTTAGATTATTGGTTAGTGCCTCTAAGCTCTAGGCAAGTGCCTCTCTTTTTATTTCATTCAAATGAATCGATGTTTTAGGTATATATTTAGTTCTTTTATTTTTATGCATTTTTTGATGATTTAATAAATATAATTATAAAAGTTATTTTTATTGCTCTATTTTATTCTAATATCGAGAATTGTGCTTTTCTTTATGTCTAATTATGAATCTAATGTGGCTACTTTGTACAAGGATTCCCTTACGTCTTGTTGAACCTTAAAGTGTCAACGGAATCAAACCCAAGGAATAGAGCATGAGGTTAGAAGAGGATAAGAAGGAAATAGGAAGTGAACAATAGAAAACAGAGTATCTATCCTTTTCATCATGAAATTGCCTCCTATTTATGTGTATAGGAGATATCTCGAGTTTATAATTACATCTAAGTCTCCCTCATACGCAAAGAGGCTTAGGTGTATCAAGGTCATTTGTATAATATACAAATAATTAAAAATATATTAATCAAAAATTAGCTCGCCGATCGTGATGATTTTTGATCGTTGGTTCATGGTCATTCACTTGATGGTAGCAAGCCGAGTCGTGTGAGGTCGACACAAAGGCCTCCGGACTAAATTCACCCATGGGGTCGCTTCGCCATACGATTCATCTCTTTAGTTGTATGGCAGTGAGTCATTCTTCATTCATCCTGCTATAGAGTCGTTCCTCGTTCGGCCCGTCATAGAACCTTCTTTCGTTCAGCCGGATGTAAATGATTCTTTGTTCGTCCACGTGTGTCGGTTGACCTATCAACTGATGACACCTTGTTAAAACCTTTGAGGAGCCTTGTTCCTTGACTCAACATCCGTTTGTGACATTCAGTAAAATTGATCAACATTTGACTGATCTCTTGTGTGACTTGATCATGAGTCCCACTTTATTTGTCATTTATGTACATTTTTTTCCAGGAGATTCGTGCTGTCAAGATCTTTTCATACATGTCTAGTTCCCCAATTTTCTTATTTTTTGAAAGTGATAGCTGTGATAAAAATAGAAAAAATAAATGCAACACTCAATTCCACATTAAATTCATTTATATTATAATTAGTATTTAATAATCAAACTCTTCAGTTTTTCGTGCACAATCATCCTGTAAATAGGATGTTACTGATGGGAAAATTATTCTGTCCGACGACCGCATGTGCTCTACATGCGGTAGCGAATTAAAAATGAACACGTGTAATGGTGGCCCTCAGTGAAGAGAAATAAGCAGACTGTGTGACCTAACCCGAACTCCGCCCAATAACCGGAAAAAACGTATATTTGAATTTATGGAATTCCGCAAAATCTAGCATTTCGACATTTTCGATCCCGCCAAAGATTATTGGTGTCTTATGGATGTAGATTTTTTTTTATTTTCTCGTCTGTTAGTATTATTCGGGTAGGGCAAAGTTCTTATTCTGTGCCGACACCACATTAAATGGTTTTCTCATTCGACCAAGAAATGTTGATGGAATCTCAGAATGATGGCGATCAGCTTGGATCATTAGCTGCGTCTGGAAGTATTCCTCAGGTAGAGCTCTTTCTTTGTTCTGTGTGCTGCTATTAATGACTTCCAAATGATAGTATTGCTGGGCTCGGATGGTGTGATTACTATATTATTTGATTGCTAAGTTAATTTGTAAGTGTTATCATTGTGTTTAAGTTGTCGTAATGGTATTATTTTTCTGGTATTATTGTGGTTGATATTATTTTTTCTGATATCATTTGGGTCTTATTTAGGTTTTATCATGAGTTTATTATGGTGTTATTATGATTGTATTATGGTAGTATTTATGCATTTTAGGCTTTCAAGAGTGTTTGTGTTATTATAGTATTATTACTGTAGTATTATGGTTGTATTACATATGATGGTGTTATTTATTGTTGTATCTAATTAGTGTTTTTAACAGAGTGTTATGTTCGGTGTAAGTAGTGTTATTTTGGTATTATCATGATTTTATTATGCTAGTATTTTTGCATTTTTGTCTTTGAAGTATACTTTTATGTTATTTTGGTATTATTTATGTGGTATTATGATTGTATTATGTATTATGTTGTTATTGATTTATCATTTCGTACCAGCATGATTGTATTTACTAATTGGTTACGTTGAAGTGTTATTTTGTCAATCCGAATGGTGGAATGTTTGAAAGTTGCAGCTCCACGAGCCTTTAACTGTGTGCATTGATTCAAATGCGGATAGTTTGCTTCGCGCGGTGGTTCATAATGAGAAGGAAGCCTACAAAAATTATTGTGCATATGCACACCATATTAGATTCACTGTGCGAAAGGACCATGTTGGTTTTTGGCCTAATTCAAAAATGATTAAGACAAAGGATTTCATTTGTGGTAAGACTAGTTTCAAGAAAGAATTAATAACAATGTGGCGGTCAAGTACAGAAGAGGGGACACAAGGATTGGTTGTTCAGCCATGATCCGATATGTCGTCGATATAGAAAGTAATTGGTTGGTTAAAAAATTTATAGAAACTCATAACCATCCTTTGGCGGCAGGCGGTGACAAATATCTATTGCGTTCCAACAAAAAAATGGGTGATGTCAGTGCACAAGTGTTCAGATCGATGAAAAAATCAGGGATCAAAACAAGCGATGCCTTTAGTTTTCTGGCTACAGAATTTGGGGGTGTTGAAAATCTTGATTGCACGAAGAGAGATGCTTATAATTTCATACAAAGAGAGAGAAAGAGTATAATTGAAAATGGGGACGCTAATTCTCTACTTAGATTGTTCACTGAGAGGCAAGCAGAGGACACAATGTTTGCATGGGACGTCCAAATTGATGAGTCTGGTAGTTTATTGAATTTCTTTTGAATTGATGAGATATCCAGACTTCATTACGATTGCTTTGGGGATGTCATAATATTTGACACAAGTTATAGATTAAATAAATACAATTTATGTTGTG